CTTCAAGTGACAAATGTCGGCCACCCACAGAGGGGCGTATCGGGGAGGGGGGAATGCTTCTTAGAAGCATCCCTGTTTCTTAGAGGGTGCGGGCCTCCTCTGTAGATGTAAGGCCGGCGCCTTCTCAGAAGCAGTCTCCTTCTACGAGGCCTCCCCTGTCTCCCTGCCCCCTTGTGCGCGCCGTCAAAAAAAGGCAAGCCCCCTGGGTTTTCGGACGTTTTTGCCGCTCTCCCTTGTCAGGTTCAGGACGTCTCGGGACGCGGCCCAGAGGCCTCCAAAGAACTCCAGGGGCTGACAAGAGCTCCCTGGAGCGCCCCTCCGTAGCCATTTTGGCTCAAGAGCCTGCCGCGGCCCGCGCGTCCGTGCCCCATGGTGTCTGCTGGCCGTGCCCCTCGGCGCACGGTGTCTGTGTCCCAGTGGGCGTGATGTACGTGCTCGTCGGTGCTACGTGATTGATGTCGACTCCCGTTACCCCCCTGGCGCCAGGGGGTGCTAAGGCTGCTGATCGGAGAGCGGTTCATTTTTCTCTTGGTGCTCTGCGATGCCTTGGGACAACTGCTAAGGTTGGTATGCATAATTCAGTACACTTCGCCCAGGCTGCACTCAGTCTTGTTGCTCTCGGACATGAATTTGACCACGGTCTGGTCGCGCCTTCGATTGACTTCCCCATGCAACGTCGTATGCACGACATCGCGCTGTCTTCGAGTTTGCAGCGCTCCCTGGAGCTTGTGCATGGTATCCCTCATTGTCGGTCGCTGCACGGTATGCTGGACATGGCGCAGGAGCGTGGTGTTTTCTCTCACGCGGCTTGGGCTCGGATGGACATGATGCGGATGCGAGGTAACAGTGCGCGGCATCGGCGCTGGAATATACCCCCTAGCATAGATGTGGTGATTCGGATTTTTGACCATATTGATCCTGTCGATGTTGTTGGTGGAAAGCTGAATCCACATGCTGCCGAGTTTGTGCCTGCTGGTCCAGTTCGTTGACCCGGGCGGTCCAGATGAGACACATCTCTTTGCTGATTTCGTCATTGACACGGCTGAGGCTCTTCTCAACGTTGCAGTAGCTCCTGGGAGTGGGAGTGGGGAAGATGGAGGCCCCGAGGTCCTGAGGCAAGCCGCAGAAGCCGATGAGGGTCTTCGAACACCCATTCGCGCCGATGCTCAAGATGATATTGGGGCTCTCTCTGACGATGTTGTGGCTCCTCTGTGTCCGTATGGGGAAGATGGAGGCCCCGAGGTCCTGAGGCGCGGAGCCGCCGATGATGGACTTCGAAAACCCATTCGTGGTGCTGTTCCTGGCGGTCCTCGGTATAGTGCAGGTGCAATATCTGATTCTGCACTCGTCGGGGAGTACATGTCTGATGTGACCTCCTTGGTTGCTCTTGTTACTGGCTTGGTCGAGTCCGCGTCTGCCGATACTGTGGTCTCTGTGGGCTGGACATGCGAAGAGGGGGGCCCCGATGTCCACGTGGCGCCTTTCCGTGCCCCTCTCCCTGACGATGCCGTGGTTCCTCTGTGTCAGTACAGGGAAGATGGAGGCCCCGAGGTCCTGAGGCACGGAGCCGCCGATGATGGACTTCGAAAACCCATGTGTGCGAGTACTTCTGCTCCAGACCCTCTTCATGTGGACAGTGACTCTGAGACTGTGATTGCGGATGGCGACGACATTGCTGATTTCGTGCGTTCTTGGATTGCTGCGCGGGGCCCGAGCTGCCTCTCGCTCCGACTCGTCCTGCAGGCAGCTACTCGCTGGTTCGGCCCACTCGGCCGTGCCTGCAAAGATCGGATTCGCACTGTGGCTGTCGACGTCATGGTAGAGATGCTCCCAGTGGATTCGCCGAGCCCAGCGGCGGAGCCAGGCCCTGCGAAGAGGCGGCGCGGAGCGGCGGGGGCCCGCCCCAAAGGCTGGAGGGTAAAAAAAAGGCTCCCTGGAGCGCCCCAGGCGAGCCCAAGACGTGGACCAGGCTGTCCACAGCGGCTCAGGCAGCCAGAGGATTGCCACTGGACCCCCCGCCCAGACCGCTGCCAGACCCCAAGGACAGTCCCAGAAAACGTACGAGGGCCCCGAAAAATCCCCGAGAGGCTCCGTAATTGACGGGCGAAGAACGGTATAACATACACTTTTCCGCTGTCAGGGGCGCCCGTCCAAGGGCGGCTGGACAGTTTGCAGCGCCGGTTTTAATACATGCTCCGCGTGCGGATCATGTATTAAACATGCAGGGACTTAGTATTAAAAACAACTATGAGTTCATGCATGCATGTATTCATACATTAACCATGTATTAAATATCATGCTTTATTTATAAAACAACCTATGTGTTAAAACCTGCCCTGTACCCTTACGGTGGCACGTCAAGGTATAAGCTTTCCAGCCGCCCTGGGAGAGGCGCCACCGACCGCGGAGCAGCTCATTTCTCGCTCCGCTCTTTGCCCCCTGACGTGCGAGGGCCCCCATGGGGGCTGAAGGATGCCCCGAGAGAGGCCCCCCCGAGGCGTTCGCGCAAAGATTCAGGAGGGACAAAAACACAGACACAATTAGTTGTGGATTCCCCAGAAAATGTGGGAAATTATGGGAAGTGGGGGGGAACACAGAAACCCAGACAATTTGGGGAAGTACGGGGAATCCTGTTATTCGTTTGTATTTATTTGTGTGTCTCAGGGCCCCGTTTCCTCCTGGCCTTGACGTGAGGCCCCTTCTTCTGCCCCCCTCTCGTTCATTCAAGCTGTGCGCGGCCCGCTGAGCTTCGACCGGAAGAGGTGCGCTCTCGACCCGCGGATCAGAAAATTTGGGAAAATGTGGGAAGTGTGGGGGGGGGAAGACAGAAACCCAGAACATATGGGAAAACATTGGTGAATCCTCTGATTTGTGTGTATTTGTTTGCGTGTCTCAGGGCCCCGTTTGCTCCTGGCCTTGATGTGAAGCCCCTTCTCCTGCCCCCCTCTCGTTCATTCAAGCTGTGCGCGGCCCGCTGAGCTTCGACCGGAAGAGGTGCGCTCTCGACCCGCGGATCAAAAAAATGTTTCGGGGCCCCTTCAAAGACGGCCTCCTGCTAGTCGGAGGGCGCCTCATTGCTCTCCAGAGGCAAAGATTCAGGAGGGGAAAAAAACACAGACACAATTCTTTGTGGAATCCCCCCCAAAATTTGGAAAATAGGGGAAGTGGGGGGGAAGACAAAAGCCCAGAAAACATTTGACAAAATATGGGGAATCCTGTTATGTGTGTGTGTGCGTGTGTGTATTTATCTGTGTGTCTCAGGGGCCGTTCAAAGATGGCCTCCCGATCGTCGGAGGGCGCCTCCTCGCTCTCCAGGGGCCCCAGGCCCCACGGCGCGCCCCGCGGGCGGATGCGGAGCCTCCCTGCCGGGCTCTCGCGCGCCTCTTCCTCAGGGGGGGCCTGGCAGTGGCAGGGCGGGATGGGAGGAGGAGGGAGGGGGAGGGAGGGGGGAGGGGGAGGGGGGAGGGGGAGGGAGGGGGAGGGGGAGGGGGAGGGGGAGAGGGATGGAGGGGGGGGGGGGGGGGGGGGGGAGGGGAGGAAGGCGGCAGGACTGGCGCGCCGCCCGCAGAGCTCCTGGGTCGGCCGAGAGCGAGCGCGAGAGAGAGAGAGAGAGAGGCGGCTCAAGGAGGCGCTGGGCCGCCCCCGGCCGCCGGGCGCGCACCTGGACGGCCCCAGCGCGCCCTCCCCCCCCAAGCAGGTCCCGAGAGGCACCCGGCCGGCACCCGACAGGGCCTCGGGAGGGCACGCGGCAGCAGCATCCCACGGGCGCGCCGGCCTCTCGGGCGCCTGGCGCGGCAGCTCTCGGCTTCGGCACCGGCACGAGCGAGATGGGTACGGATAACGAAGGGGTGCCATGCCCAGCAGCAGCTCCTTGTTCCTTCTGAACAGGGCTCGCCGTCGCTGTCGCCGCGGCCTGTGTCCATTCGAGACAGAAGGCCGCCTGCCCAACAGCGGCCGCTGCTGGTTTGGGGCAGCATGTGTTGTTGGGCATTGTGCCCATTCTTTCCGTGCCCTTTTCGGGCGTCCAAGCAGCAGGCCTCGAGGCGCGGTGCCCAGAGGCTGCCAGCAGCGCTCCGCAGGCCCGCGCGAGCCCTCGGGAGCGCCGCCCCGGACGCTGCGGAAGCTGTCCTGGTTGGCCCTGGTTGGTTCCCCAAACGGCTCTCAGGACCGGGCGCAATTTGCCCCAGCAGCCCCCGAGACGACCGCCAGACCCCGGAAACAGCCCCCCTAAGCTTGTTGGGGCCCGAAAGTGTCTCCCAGAGCTCCTCCACCAGCGCCCCCAGAGAGATCCCAAAAGGCTCCCAGCTGGCACGACCGGATCCCCAGTCGGCCACCAGATAGTCCGAGAGCGCCTCGTCTGGCCCAAGAGGCTCCAACAGTGCCATACGACGCCTTGAGACAGCCAACCATGCCCGAAGAGGTCTCACACGTGTCCCAACACCCAATGCATTCCAGCAGCAGAGTCAGCAGCAGAGCCAGCAGCATCAGCCATGAGCAGCCAGCTGGAATCAGCGACCAGCAAGTAGCGACAACCATAACTAGCACGCAGCAACAATAGCCAGTGGCACCAACAGCGGGCAACAGCAGGAAGCATAAGCACGTGCTCGTTTGCTGCGGGCAGTTCCACAGGTAGTCCAAGTGGCCCAGACGACATGTAGAGTGCCGCACAGATCACAGGGGCCCCAGGACGCCCTCACCCAGGCAAGCCCCCCCCCTCCCACAGACGGCAATGCGCCACATCTTGGTGGACGTGCTATCGTTTGGCTGAGTCATGTTGGATGTGCAAGCCGCTTGCGGGTTTGTCCCACGGGCACACTAGTCTGCTACAACTCTGCGGTAAGTGCGTGCGAGAAGGGCAAGCAGTGGCAGCGGGCTTTGGCGCTGCTCAGCGTGATGTGGGATGCGAAGCTGGAGCTGGACGTTGTGAGCTACTGCGTCGTGATCAGCGCGTGCGAGAAGGGCGAGCAGTGGCAGCGGGCTTTGGCATTGCTCAGCGAGATATGGGAGAAGAGGCTGGAGCCCGATGTCATCTCTTCTACAATGCAAGGCCTCTCTCTTGCAGGAAGTGCTTGTGCACCGAGGCTGGGGTCGGATGGCTTCGCGCCGTCCCTGAATGCAAAGCAAAGCGCCAGGAGCAGCGTGCAGCATGAAGCGCCAATCATCAGCAGGCTGCTGCTATGGGGCGATCGAGAGAAATAAGCTTTCTAGAACCCGGAGGGTAGGCCTACCCTAGGCCTACCCCTAGGCCTACCCCCTAGGTCTACCCTAGGCCTACCCTAGGCCTACCCCTAGGCCTTCCCCCTAGGTCTACCCCTAGGCCTACCCTAGGCCTCCCCCTAGGTCTCCCCCTAGGCCTCCCCCTAGGCCTCCCCCTAGGCCTACCCTAGGCCTACCCCCTAGGCCTACCCTAGGCCTACCCCTAGGCCTTCCTCCTAAGTCTATCCTATGCCTACCCCTAGGCCTACCTCCTAGGCTCACCGTAGGCTTACCCCTAGGCCTACCCCCTAGGCCTACCCTAGGCCTACCCCCAAGCCTACCCTCAGGTCTACCCCAGGCCTACCCCTAGGCAGTCCCCCTAGGCCTACCTGAAGCCTACCGTAGGCCTACCCCCATACATCGGCCCAATGAAAGTTCCTTGAATTTTCGTCACATCGCTCGCTCGCGGAAGCCGACGGAAACAAAACGAGACGGAAGACGGCGGAAGGCCGTCAGAAAGCTTGCGGAAGATAGCGGGAGTGAATGACGCCCCGTCCGAGCCCCCCTCCCCCCCGTAGAAGCCTAGCAATGCAGTCTTCTGCCGTGGGCAGGGCGGGATCCCGCTTTACTTACTACCCTTTAATATTAGAATTTTGTTCAGCCAGGCTGAAATCCCACCCAGTAAAAATGGAAAAAACAAATCCCGGGTCGTTCACAGATCCCGCCATGCTAGGATCGGCTCGAAGTAAGGTTGGGCCCTGAAATTTTAGCATTCTTGGCGTGTCAGGGTCGTCTTGAGGTTATCTTGAGATCATATCTCGGTCATGCTTGGATCGCGCAGCCGTCGCGTGTCCATTCTGGGGCCGCCCTGGGCGCGCGTGGATCCATCTTGTTGCCATCGGGCCATCTCGGCGTCACTCGTGGCTCCATTGTTTGGTCGTCTTCGGGTCGGCCTGAGACGGTCCAGAATCCATGACGGGATCGCGTTGGGGGGGCGTCATCCCAGGGTCGGCTGGGCGTTATCGCATTTGGCCTCAGGCCCTCCTGGAACCATTTTGCAGCCGTGGGGGGGTCTTGGGATCTCGCGCACGCGAGCGTTCAGCACACGCTCGCGCGACAACTCATCTCGCCGATGGGCGTACGCACATGCACTTCCTGTTGCGAGTTTCCAAGGAAACTTTTGTTGGAGCCAAGTAGGCCTACTTTAGGCCTAGCCCTGGGATTATCCCTAGGCATTCCCCCCTAGGCCTACTGCTAAGCTTTCCCCCTAGACCAACCCTAGGCCCACCCCTAAGCCTTCCACCTAGGCTTACTCTAGGAATTCACACGCCGGATCGGCAGATTACCCCCTCCCCTCTCCCTCCCCTGTCCTTCCCCTGTCCCTCCCCGCCCCTCCCCGCCCATCCCTCCTCCTCTTATCATTGTTTCGTATACCTCTATGCGCTCCGTGTGCATCCGAGCAGCTTCACATTTGTGTGTGTGTGTGTGTGTGTGCTGTTTGCTTGTTTTTTGCTTTGAGTATCCGTGGCCACTTATTGCCTACTCAGGAACTTTGTATTTTAATTGTATGTAAACTGCCGCTTTGAATACTGGACCTTGTTTCTCTGCTCTGGTTTTCTCCTCCCCCTCCTTTCTGTCTCCTCCTTTTGCCTGTTCTTCATCATGTGACCGTTTTTTTTTTTTTTTTTTTTTTTTTTTTTTTTTTTTTTTTTTTTTTTTTTTTTTTTTTTTTTAAAACAAATATGTTTCTCTTCTTCCTCTTCTGTTGAGTACAGTTTATGTGTATATACTGTTGGTTTTTGTTGTTCGTAACTATACATATATAACATTCATCATGTGTCTTATTAGAAACAACTTTTGGCTCGAATCAGGGTTTCAAGCAACCGATGCGCATGACAGCCTTTTTTGGCATCCACGCTGCCCACTCTCTCTCCTCGTCCTTCCTCCGCCTCCTTGGAGTCGAAACTGCGTAGGATAGCCTGCAGGATCAATTGCTGCTGCTTGCCTGTGGGACGAGTTTGAACAGTCTCTCCGCGCGCCCCGTTGGGTGATCTCGCCCCCCCTGCCGCGCTGCGGCGAAGCATTGACCTTGAGCGGGCAGGAGGTCCTCATCCCTGGATACGGGTCAGCTTTCGGGTTGGCCCCAGGCTGTTCTACAGTACAGTGCCGTTTTTAATACATGCTCCGCGTGCGGATCATGTATTACAAATGCAGGGCTCTAGCATTAAAAACAACGAGGAGTTCATGCCTAAATTTCTTCATAACTCAATCATGTATGTAAAGTCCCATATTTTCAAAATCCTATGTATGAAAAACTGCCCTGTACACTGCAGGACCCCTCGCGTGCCAGAGCCGAGGAAGCGCCGGCGTCCCCGAAGAGCCCAGCAGGCGCCCTCGGCGCGTCCTGGAGCGCAGCTCTGACGGGCTCCGGCGGGTCTCGCGGCGCCTCCGAGAGGGTCTCGGCCGGCTCCGCAGAGCCCCCGGGGGGGCCCCAGGCCGTCCCGCGGACTCCCCCCACCGGGCCCCCCAAGGCGACACCGAGATGGCCCCAAGAGGCCCAGTGATGCCTCGGCCGACGGCACTCGGCAGGCGTGCGTTCTCACACCTGTTTTTTTTTTCCCCGGCTCTGGATCGCTCCGCCAGCGGGGCCCGGGACACCCCAAGCGGGCCCCTGATGCCCACAAGGGCCCCCAGGAGGGCCCATGATGCCCAATGGCCTCAGATGGGCCTGGCCTGCTTGCCCCAAGGCGGCCCCACGACGGCCCGAGATCCCCTGAAGATGAGACCCCCTGAAGATGGCCCCAAGGGCCCCCCCGAGATCCCCCGGACCCTCCTACAACAGCACCCGGACCGGAGGCCCCGAGCGACGCCCAGATGGCTTCAGGAGGCGCGTGAGGGCCCCAAGGGAACCAGACAAGGTCCAACGAAGGCTCCAAGGAGGTCCTCAGAGTTGGCTCCCAGGAGGATGCCAGGGTTCGACCACATGCGTTCCGAGGCCATTGAGAGATTCGTGTGCTGCCTGGTGTCAAGCCTCCCTCGCTTTTCTCTCCTTGCTCCTTGCTCCACGCTTCTCGCTCCGTGCTCCTCACTCCTCCCTCCTCACTCACGAGAGCACCGAGAAGCAGTACCCTACAGCCTCAAGCAGCAACAGTGAGCAGCAGCAGCAGCAGCAGCAGCAGCAGCAGCAGCAACAGCAGCAGCAGCAGCAGCAGCAGCAGCAGCTCGTAGTCCGCACCAAGCATCACCAGCGGCAGTACACAGCAACTGCAAGCAGAAACGGCAGCACGCAGCACGCAGCAGCACTCTGTAGCCGCAGGCAATTTCAGTAGTGACGAAATTCGGGCCCAACGTCATAATGAAATCCGTCCAGCAACATCTCCGCCTTGACCCAACGTGCCATCTCGGACAGATCCACGGGTAAGCGCTAGTCAGCTACAACGCTGGGATCAGCGCGTGTGAGAAGGGAGAGCAGTGGCAGCAGGCGTTGGCGCTGCTCAGCGAGATGCGGGGTGCGAAGCTGGAGCTGGACGTCATCAGCTACAGCGCAGGGACCAGCGCGTGCGAAAAGGGCGGGCAGTGGCAGCGGGCCTTGGCGCTGCTCACCGAGATGGGGGAGGCGAAGCTGGAGCCGGACGTGTGCACCTCTATGTTGCGCGGACCAGTGCGAGCGAAGAGTGCCCGAGGCTCGTTTGGGCTATGGGTGCTCTCCGGCGGCTCCGGGAGGCCCCTGGATGCCGTGCCGAGGCCCCCGGCGGCTTCGCAGGTCTCCACGGTGATCGATGGGGTCGCAAGGGGGAGCCCAGGACAGGCCCCAAACGATCCAAGACTCTGCAGCTTTTGCGACACGCGGGCCCCGCGAGGCTCTTTTGTGGCTTCGCGTCGCGTCCCAGGGGCGAGCAGCCACAGTTGCATTGTGGCTTTCGGCATGGCCTCGGATCAGCTTTCCAGACTGGCCAAGACGTCCACAAGGGCCCCAGTGAGGTCTCAAGTTACCTTGAAGATAGCCCAAGATGACTCTGGCCCACAGGCAGTTTCGAAACGGCCCAAGACTGCCCCAAGATGTCTTCAATCCCTGACTGACCACCCAGACCCCTCCAAAGGGCCCCGCGAGGCTGCAGCATGCCCCATAACTTCCCAACAGTGCGCCTAAACAAGACCCGGGATGGCCCGAGGAGGGCCCCAGGGAAGGCATCAAAACAGGTCGAGCCACTGGGTGCAGCTCGCAGGCAGCAGAGGCAGTAGCAGCAGAGCCAGCAGCAGCAGAGCTTTGCCCGGTCAGGCCCCCGCCAAGTTGAATATTGCCCCCAGAGCCTCCCAGAGAGACGGACAAGGCTTGCGTAAAGCTCCACGACTGCAGCATGCACCACCAGCACGAAGCAAGCAGCAGCAGCAGCAGCAGCAGCAGCAGCAGCAGCAGCAGCAGCAGCAGCAGCAGCAGCAGCAGCAGCAGCAGCAGCAGCAGCAGCAGCAGCAGCAGCAGCAGCAGCAGCAGCAGCAGCAGCAGCAGCAGCAGCAGCAGCAGCAGCAGCACCAGCAGCAGCAGCAGCAGCAGCAGCAGCAGCAGCAGCAGCAGCAGCAGCAGCAGCAGCAGCAGCAGCAGCAGCAGCAGCAGCATGCAGCAGCAGCAGCAGCAGCAGCAGCAGCAGCGGCAGCGGCAGCGGCAGCGGCAGCGGCAGCAGCAGCAGTAGAAGCCTGCAGCAGCACGCAGAACGCAACACAGATATTTAGCAGTTCACTGCAGCCACATGCAGCAATAACAAACGGCAGCGGCAAGCATTAGCAGCAGCACGCAGCAACAGTATGCAGCAGGTGCATACGCGCAGCAGCAACGAGCACAAGCAGCAGTGCACAACAGTCCGAAGTCGCAGCAACCAGCAGCACGCACCATAAAAGATCAGTCCGAAACGGCAAGAATCAGGAAGCAGTACAATGTAGCAGGAAGCAGTGCCCAGGATGCCCCTAAGACGGGCCCAAGAAGCGGAAGTCCACTGGGCTCTGGGAGCCCCTCCCCTCCAACATGGCAATGCCTCGAGCATGCCATCAAGATGCCCCCAGGATGCCCTCCAGACGGCGGCAGGACTCCCAAAAGAGGCCCCCAAGTCTGCCCAGGATGCCAGCCCAAGAAGGGAAAGTCCTCGGGGAAGCCCCTAAGTGGTCCTCCAGGCGGCCCCGACAGCGCCAACAAGCCGACGGGGGAGACGCGCAGCCGCTGCTCAGCACGTGCACCCGTCACTGTTCCTGGGACCTCCGCGCTTGCCTCTCCTTCCTCTTCCCCCCCCTCCCCCTGCAGCCAAGGCGCTGGAACAAGGACCACCTCGGGCTCAGCAGGGGCTCGGGCTCTCGGGCCGTTGCTCAGATCCACATGGGGGACCCTCTTCGTGGCCGAGGCTCGCCGTGGTCAGACAGGCCCATTCGCTCCTTCTTTGGCGCTCCTCCTGGTAGCACTTCGACTGTGCTCCCGTGCCTCCCCCGCCTCTTCCTCCTCCTCCTCTGCCTCCTCCCGGCGGGGGCCTCTGCACCACCGCTGGTACCCGTGCCTGTGTCTGCGCCTTCCCCGCTCTTCCCTCCGTTTTCCCCCCTCCTCCTCCCTCGACTCCCCATCCCCCCCCTTGTCCATCTCCTCTGCTCCCCTCCTCGGGCTCCCAGTCACTCTGGGCCCCCCACTTCGCCTTGCAGGGGTGACGGGGGGCCTGCAGACGTTTTGGCCCCACCCCCCTGCCTTCCCCCATCCTTCTCCTCCTCTTCCTTTTCCGGCTCCGGCCATCCTACTCCACCAGTTCGAGGTAGCTTGGGGGGACCTGCACACGTTTCGGCCCCCCCCCCCCCCCACACGAGCACGATCTGAATTCCGACGCCCCTCGAGTTCCCCCCCTCAGGTTCCAACCTACTCGTCCGCGGAGCGAGCTTCGCCCTGGCCGCTGGCTTCGCCCTGCTGGCCGTCGCTGTTCCACGGTCTCGCACCAGTCTGCTACAACGCTGGTATCAGCGCGTGCGAGAAGAGCGAGCAGTGGCAGCGGGCTTTGGCGCTGCTCAGCGAGATGTGGGATGCGAAGCTGGAGCCGGACGTCAGCACCATCGCCATCTCCATGATTCTGGGTCTCTGTCTCAACCGTGTGCGGGGGCTTCCCCTGGAGCTAGCAATGCTGCGAGCAGCGCGTGCGAACGACGCGCGAGGGGCATCTGGGAGGTCTCGACCGACGGGGCCCCAGACGGCCGGGCGTGGCTCCCGCAGGGCCCCCGGCCGGCCGAGGGAGCTCCCACAGGGCGCCCGTCGCCTGAGGAGGGCCGAGGCGACCCCGGACGGCCCAAGGCGGCGCCAAGGTGGCCTTCACAGCCGCCAAGATGGCTGCGGTCAGGGGCCTCGAGACGCGGCAGCCGGTAGATGTATCTATGTGTACAGTTGCATGTATGTGTGTGTGTATGTATGTCTCAGGTATGTGGGCGTCGGTAGGTGTGTGTAAGAGATGTTCATATGCATCTATTTTCATAGCCACATCAATCTACACATACATACATACATAGATCCATACATACATACATACATACATACATACATACATACATTCACACATACAAACGTACATACATGCATGCATGCACGCATGTCTACACACACCTACACATACATACACACATACTCACACAAACATACACACATCCATACACCACCTATATACATGCACATACATACACACATACGTATATGCGCATGTATGCGTGCATACACATATACGCTTATACATGCATGCATACCCATATCCCAATCTACACGTCTACATGTCTACACATTTTTACGTATACACCTACACACATACATACATACTGACACACACACTTATATACATACACACTACTTACACGCACACATCCACGCACACATACACAGACATACATACACACAGACACACATACACACATACACACATATGCACACACATGCACATACATACACACATACACATACACATACATACATATCTACATACATACATACATTTATTTATGCATACATCCATACATACATACATACATGCAACCATATATATATATATATATATATATATATATTTATGTACATGCATACATGCATACATCATGCATGCATGCGTACACATGTACGTACGTACATACTACTTGTTTATATGTACCGTGCATGCATACACCCATACACGCTTACGTACATATGTATATATACATATGTGTTTGCATACACGTCACGCAGTTATACACATATATGTCATGTACTTACACACACATATATATATAGCTGTATGAATGGAAATATCCAGTTGCTTGTGACAACCCCCCTGCCTTGCCAGTTCAGCAGCGCAGCATGAAGGAGGTTTAGTCCAAGTGTCACGCCAGTTCAGCGCGCGGTCTGAACTACCATGGGCCTGAAACTCCACCTCGGACCCTCGGTTTTCGTGCCGTCTTGGAGCTTCTTTGGGCCGTCTTGGAGGGTTGTCTGGGGCAGTCTTGAGGCAGTTTTGTGCCATCTTGGGGGCTTATTTGGGCCCCTTGACGCTCACCTGACGCGATGTGAAGCCGCAAGGCCTCGTGGCCTCGGAAGAAAGTTGTCAGGCCAGCAGACTGGCAGCCATGCGCGTGGGACAGTACTAAGCCAGCAAGCAGACAAGCGACCTTCACGCTTTCATGCGAGCCCGTTTTCGTGGGCATAAGATCACGCGGCAGCCACAGTCTCTTCTACAATGCAGCGATCTTTGCGTGCCAGAAGGTCCTCTGTCTTGAAAGGTCCGCCAGGTTCTCCAGGCCGCCCTGCGAGCCCCCGGGCCGCTCCGAGATGGCTCAGAGACGCCCACGAGGGCGCCCGGACAGACCAAGAGGGACCCAACCGAGCCCCAGGTCGGCCCCAGAGGCTTCCAAGGCAGGCCAGGAGGCTCCCAAGGCGGCCCAGGAGGACCCCCAGGAGGGACCCAAGAGGCAACAATTGCCCCGTTCCCTTAGGAAAACATGCATTTTTGATATGCTTGCTCTTTTTGTTTTCACCGCGCCCAAGACGGCTATGCAGGCCTTCCCGATCGCCCCAAGACGCCCCCAGAGCACCCCAGGAGGGCCCCCAAACGGCCCGAGGCGGCCACGCGACGGCTCCAGAGACGCCCTAGACGGCCCCAGAGGCAACCAAGACAGCCACAAGAGCGGTCAATAACGGCCCAAGACGGCCCCAAGACGGTCTGAGCTGTGCCCAAGACGGCCCCACATGGCCCAAAGGGCCTCCAAGTCGGCTCAACCGGGGTCGTGCGTGCCAGAATGCCGCAGGATCGATGAAGTCAAAACCGCCCCGGGCTGGCCCCGGGCCGCCCAGGGACGCCCAGGGAGGCTCCAAGACACGCCAAGAGGGCCCCAAGAGGCCCAAGTCGGCCCGAGAGGTCTCCAAGGTGCTCCATGAGACCTCCCCAGGAGTTTCCCCAGAGGGTCCCGAGCAAGAAAAAACATAGTTTTTTGGTGTGTGTGTGTGTGTGTTTGTGTGTTTTGTTTGAAAGGTTTTTGCCGTTCTCGCCTTGTCGGCTTCCAAACGATCCACGACCGCCCAAGACGTCCCCAAGACGGCTCCAAGACGGCCGAAGAGGCCCCCAAGAGAGCTCCAAGACGGGCCCAAAGGGCCCCCAAGTCGGCTCAACAGGCCCCCAGGTGGGCCCCAGACGCTCGAGATTGGCCCAAGATTGGCCCAAGCCGGCCCGAGAGGTCTCCAAGGTGCTCCATGAGACGTCCCCAGAACCTTCCGCAGAGGGCCCCAGGGCCCCGGCGCGCTTCCAAGATGGCTTAAGAGCGCTCCGAGCCGCCCCGGAGGCCCCCAAGAGGGCCCCAAGAGGGCCCGAAGACCGTCCAAGAGGGCCTCCGAGACGGGCCCCGAGCGCTCGAAAACGCCCAAGACAGCCGCCCGACGGCCCAAGAGGCCCCCCAAATGCTCCAAGTGGGCTCCATAGAGAGCCCAGGAGAGCCCGAACAAGGAACAATCGTCCCAATCCCAAGGGAAAACGCACATTTCGGGAGTTCCCGTGCTTTTCGTCTTCGTAGCGCCCAAGGCGGCCACACATGCCCTCAAGATCGTCCCAAGACGCCTCAGGAGGCTGCCAGGAGGGCCCCAAGACGCCTCAAGACTACGCCAGGACGGTTCCTCAGGCGCCCATGGCGGCCCCAAGAGGAGGGCAGGACAGGGCGGGAGCGCTCCCGAGGGGCCCCAAGAGGGGGCCAGGAGGGCCCCAAGATGGCCCCGACAAGGCTCCAAGACGCATGTACTTGGGTGCCCATCTCGCAAGCCCAAAAAGCATATCAAGTACATGCGGTTTGGGACGCTCTTGCGGCCCTCTTGAGGCCTTCGAGCCCCTCCAAGACAGGGCCAGGCGCATTCTGCCACAGAAAGGCCTCTCGTGGCAGAATGCCGGGCCCGCGCCCGGCGGCGTCCTGGGGCCCTCTTGGAGCCCTCTTGCACCCAAGACAGCCCCAAAGACTGACGGCCCGAAGGCGGCCCAATAGGCGCCCAAGACGGCCCACGACGGCTCCAACGCGGCCCCGAAGGCACGCAAGACAGCCCCAAGAGCCGCCAAGACGGTCCAAGACGGCTCCCAGACGGCCCAAGGGGCGCTCAAAACGGCCCAGGACGCTTCCGAGACGGCCCAAACGGCACCGACGAGAGCCCACGAGGGCCCCCAGAGGCCCCCTCGAAGCCCAAAAGAAGCTCCAAGAGGCCCCCACACGGCCCTTAGGAGACCCTAAGTGGCTAACCGTGGGATCATCGCGCAGGGGCGCCGCGCGCCCGAACTACCTCCCCGCAAGTGTTCTGTGTCTCGCCGCCGCCGCCGCCGTCATCGTCCCCGTCGGGCGGCGCTGGCAGGCGCCACGGAGCGTGCCGGTGCAGCTCGGGGTGCTGCTGTGGAAGGGGCGGATAGCCTTTCGGCACCATTCCCGCCGCTCCCCCCTAGAATACCCTTTGGCCAGATGCCGTGGACGGAGTCCACGGGTCAGCCCTAGTCTTCTCTACAATGCAGGGACCCGTGGGTACGGGAAGTGTCCCTGTCTTGATGAGCTGAAAATGTCCCACAACGGCTCCGGGTACGCCCCAGAGGCGCTCACGCGGCCCCAGAGGCGCCCAGGACGGCCCAAGAGGCGCCCAGGACGGCCCCACAGACCCCAAAAACGGCCCAAGAGCACTCCAAGAGAGCTCAAGACCGCCGAAAACGGCCCCGACAAGGCCCAGGAGGCCTCCACGACGGCCCCAGAGACGCCCAAGAGGCGTCCCAGGATGGCCCCCACAGGCCCAAATCATTGTTTTTCCAATTTTAGCATACACTGCTTGTCGGGCATATTTCGCAGAAGCTGGGACAAGAGGTCCCCACGACCCCCCCCAGACGCCTCCCAGAGGCACGAAAACTGGCCCGAGAGAGCGTCAAGAGACCCAAGAGGCGCCCAACACGGCCCCCAGGCGGCCCCAAGAGGCTCCCAGGAGGCGCCCAGGACGGCCCCAGACACCCCCAAGACGGCCCCAGAGCGCTCCAAGAGAGCCCAAGACCGCCGAAAACAAACCCAAGACGGCCCAGGAGGCCTCCACGCCGGCCCCGGAGACGCCCAAGAGGCGTCCAAGGATGACCCCAAGAGGCGAACATTATTGTTTTCCCGAAGAAAAGCGTTCAATTTTAGCATGCGCTGCTTGTTGGGCATATGGCGCAGAAGTTGGTTCAAGGTCCCCGCGACCGCCCCAAGACGGCCCAAGAGGCCCCCAATACGCACGAAAACCGGCCCGAGAGGGCGTCAAGAGAGCCCAAGAGGCGCCCAAAACGGCCCCAGGGCGACACCAAGACAGGCTCCCAGGACGGCCCAAGGTATTCTCAAGACGCTCCAAGAGCGCTCCACGACAAGCCAAGACTGCCTTTTGCGGCGCCAAGACGGCCCAAGACGCTTCTACGACGGCCCAAGAGACGCCGAAGAGGCTTCCCAGGAGGGCCCCAGGAGGCCACAATTATCGCTTTCCCGACGGAAACCGTGCACATGTCAGCATCTCCGGCTTTCCCGGTTTCATGGCGCAGACGACGGCCCAAGAGGCCCCCAACACCGCCCCAAGACGGCCCAGGAGGTTCCCACAGGGGATCCACACCGGCCCGACGGAGCGTCAAGACATGTAGCCGAAGAGCCGCCCAAGTCGGCCTGGCAGGGCCGCAATACGGCCCCCAGAGCTTCCCAACACGGCCCAAGGTTCCCCCAAGACGGCCCCAGAGCGCTCCAAGAGGTGTCGAAGATAGCGGGGCGAGGTACCAGTGTGCCATTTCAGGGGCCTCCCTGAGCTCCTGCTCCTCCTCCTCCTCCTCCTCCTCCTCCTCCTCGCCCACCTCCTCCCCCTCCTCCTCCTCCTCCTCCTCCTCCTCCTCCTCCACGTCCTCCTCCTCATTCTGCTGCTGCCCCCTCCTCCTCCTCCTCCTCCTCCTCCTCCTCCTCCTCCTCCTCCCTCCTCCTTCTCCTCCTCCCTCCTCCTCCCCCTCCCCCCCCTCCCCCCCCTCCCCCTCCCCCTGCTCCTCCTCCTCCTCCTCCTCCTCCTCCACCTCCTCCACCTCCTCCTCCTACTCCTCCAACTTCTTTCCAATCACCCCGCTTGCGAGAGCCCCCGAAACAGCACGCCTGAGAGGCGCGCGAAAGCCTTCCTGCACCATCTCCCCCCTAACCACGGAGCCCACATAAAAGGACATGTCGTGGACGCAGTCCACGGGTCTGCCCTAGTCAGCTACAACGCTGGGGTCAGCGCGTGCGAGAAGAGTGAGCAGTGGCAGCGGGCTTCGGCGCTGCTTAGCGAAATGCGGGAGGCGAAGCTGGAGCCAGACGTCATCACCATCGTCATCTCCCTACTTCTGGGCCTAGTGCCCGCGGGGCAGGACCTCTATCTTAACTGTGCACTAGGCCCCCCCCCTGGGGCTCCCCGGGGCAGTCCACAGTCCCCTACAACCCTCCTCGAAAATCAAACGCAAATCTTTCATGGTGGTCGACGCGCGCGTCGCGGCCCCACGGGGCCTGCTTTCTGTGCTTGCGTTCGCCAACTTCGGCGCGAACGTGGACCGGTTGTGAGGGAGGCCCCGCGGCGCCGCCGCGTCGCGGCAAGACCCTGCGTGTGCTTTCGCGGGGGGGTGCTGTAGAAGGCCCCCGTGCCTCGTCGTGAAGTTCTTCGAGCCCCGCCCCGCCTCCCCGCCCTCCGGTGGGGCCCCGGCGCGCGCCCGCTGGGGGCTTCCACCGGAGGCCCCGAGCGGCCCCGCGCGCTGGTGTCGCGCGGCGCACCCCCCCGCGGCGGAAGAGCGGCCGGACTCCTCGCGCCTCCAGGCGCGCTTTTAGGGGGGCGCGGCCCGTCTCGGGTCTGGAGGTGGCCCCGCGGCGGGCCCAGGGGCTGCGATCAGGGCCCAAGGCGCCCAGGAGAGCTCCCAGGACAGCCCAGGACGCCCCGAAGAGGTGGCCCAAGATATTGCCCGGACTGGCCTCCAGGATGGCCCCCATCTGGCTCCCAGGTGGCCCCAGTCTCCCCGCTCTCCTGCCCGTTCGTCCGTTCCCTCTTCCCCCTCCCCTCTTCTCCCTTGACAGGAACCTGCGCCATCGCAGACGCTCGGGGTTGCGTACTGCTCTCTGTCCACCACGGCCATGTTTAGCAGTTTGGTGGGGCTATTTTTTGCCATGATGGTCGTAGTGGGAAAAAATTGCCCCAATCTGGCTCCTAGATGGCCTAAGACCGCCCCAATATTGCCCCCAGACTTTCCCCAGACGGCCCCTGGACCTCCAGGAGGGCCCCCTCAGGCTCCAAGGGACCCAAAGATGGCTTTGAGAAGCCCCAAGAGAGGCTCCAGGAAAGTCCACAAATCCTCCAGGAGAGCCTCAAGAGGCCCCCATGAGGCCTTCAAGACTTGACGAGCCGCCCGTCGTAGCACGCAAGCAAGCTACCCAGCAGTGGCAGAGCTAGCAGCAGTAGGCAAACGAGGCAAGCAGCGCCAACAGGGTATCAAGACTCACGGCAGAACGATCCAACGAAGGCAGCAAGCAAATAGCAGAGGAAAAAGCAGCAGAGCTCGCAGCAGCAGCAGCAGCAGCAGCAGCAGCATCAGCAGCCAGGAGAGGCTTTCGTGATAGCGTGGGGCAAAGCAGTTATTCGGCCGCATTTCACTGATCACGTGCCTGTCAAGTCAGGCTCCACGGACGGTAGTCCAGAGGTCAGCCCTAGTCTGTCCTACACTGTAGAGGCCCGTGCGTCCTGGAAGGGTCCCTGCATCGATTGAGTCCTCGGAGCCCCAGGTCAGCTTCAGGAGCCCGACGGATGGCCCAGGCGTTGCCCCGGGCGGTCCTGGAAGCCCTGGGCGGCCCTCTGGGGCGCCTCCGAGACGTCTCCAGACGCGTCTGCGGAGCCCTCTCGGAGGGCCTCAGGCGGCACCGCAAGAGTTCTCAAGACGCCCCAGGATGACGCCTCGGGGCCCCCTCCGGAGCGCACCCGGGCCCCTCCCACAACAGCATCCAGAGGCCCCAACGGACGCCCAGATGGCCCCAAGAGGCACGGGAGGGCCCCGAGGTAGCCCAACCAGGCCCCAAGGAGGCCCCACTGTTGCTCCAAGGTTGGCCCCAACACACAGGGGAAGATTTCTGCCTTCGATTGACACGTGAACGCATGAGAGGGTGGGCGACCCTTGTCAATCTGGCCCGAGCAGGTACTTTTCTAACTCCAGCGTGCTCGACGACGACGAGGGCCGCGGCGATGCCCGCGGCGACGATGATCCTGGCGACGAGGAGATGGACGGCGAGGAGCGTGACGCTGGCGACCGCACAGGGGGGCGATGCTGACGACGCCGGCGATACTGCACGACGAGGCTCTTGGCGGTGAGGACGGCGCGGTGGAGATTACGGGGCCCAAACATTTACACCACCACTTCCTCCCTTCCCCCATCCCTCTCCCAGGAAGAAGGACAGGAATGTAGGAGGGTCGAGGAGGGAGGAGGAGGAGTCGACGTGGTGTTGGTGTATCTATTCCTGGGGCCCGCAGAGCTGGCGGAGGCGGCGGCAGCCAGCGGCAGACGGCGGTGGCCGTACGGCGGTGGCGGGGCGCACTGCGGGCGAGCTGCCCCCCCCCCCCCCCCGCCCCTCTGCAAATCCCGAGGCGCCGCGCGGGCCTGCCTGGCGGGGAGCCGCGGCCTCCCGAGCGGTGGTGCAGTGGGCATCGGCCGTTGAAGGGTCGGTATTTTGGATTCCCGGATCCGAATCTGCTTTCAGCGCCTTCCTGCTGCAAGAGTCGAGTGGCTTTCCCTCTTCCCTCCTCTTCCGGAGGCGGGCGGAAGCCCAACCTGCTTCCAACGCCTTCCTACTTCATGTTTCTACCACCTACTTCTTCCGACGCATGGGTACTGATACTGTGTGTGCGTCGCCCCGTCCCCCCCCCCCCCCCCCGGGGGCGACGCGCGCCCCGAGAAGTCCTGCAGTAGATGCGTCGTGGCGGGCGCGTTCTGGCCGTACCGCTCGGGAAGCGATGTGCCACAAGACGGCCATGCTACATGTTCGGGTCGGAGGCACGCCTCCGCTGGGGCCGCACGGTGCTGCTATGTCCTTGTGCGTCCCATTCAAGTTGGTAGTACAGGCCTCGGACCAAATGAGCGAACACATGCCACATTCAACTGTCAACGCCTCCCCCTCCCCCCAATGTTCAAAGTTGGCGGTGAGTCTGATGAGATGCACTTCGACCGCAGTCTCCCCCGCGCGTGCCAACATTGAGTTTGGGGGGAGGGGGAGTGTTCAGTAATTGTTTCCCTCTACCGTATGTGCAAGTTCGCATCCTGCGCCGCTTGGTTATCTCTCTTGTTTTACCAGCCTGGAACATATCCCTATCCCTATGCTGGGCATCTCCTCATCACGATGCCAATCTTATAGGGATTCCCTTCTCTTTTGAGGGCGGATCCCTAAGACTGTCATCGCCCCTCTGGCGTGTCAATCTTGCGGACGGGGATATGTTCGAGGCTGGCAATTGCTTTCCTTCCTCCCTCCGCCCTCTTTCCCCCCGTGCCCCGCGTCGGCGGCCCGAGCTTCGGCCACGCTCGCCGGGCAGCGTCTCTCGCCGCCGACTTGCCCGCCGATGCGGTTTCGCAACTCGGCGGGGGCCCGGGGCCCTTGTCCGCAGGCCCTTGCTGCTTTCAGGGGGGTACGGTAGAGGGAAGCAACTACTGAACACTCCCCCTCCCCCCCAAACTCAACGTTGGCACGCGCGGGGGAGACTGCGGTCGAAGTGCATTTCATCAGACCCACCGCCAACTTTGAACATTGGGGGGAGGGGGAGGCGTTGACCGTTGAATGTGGCATGTGTTCGCTAATTGTTCCGAGGCCTGTATCTTTGGGGGGACAAGCGACCTCTAAGATAGAGTAGTATCAACTGGTCCCGGACGATGGTCAACCAAGCAGCTCTCCATTTCCCCTGGCGTGTCTGCGTGCGCCGAGCACGGACGCGAGGTTCCGCCCGAGACGTCTTCACCCACGCGTTGAGATCATCCCAGGTTTCTGTTAGTTTCCCGATCGAGTTCCGAAGGCCTCCCCGGTTCCGCTCGATTCTCGGTCCGTTCATTCGGGGGAGGACAGAACCCCAACAGTGACACGTCGATTAGTGAATTGTCCGTTCTCGGTTTTCGAGAGGGCGCCGTGGCCGTTATTTTCCAGGCTTGCGCCCGCCAGGTTTGGGCCTCAGGTCGTTTTCACTAAGCCACGTTTTGCGAAAGGGGGGTCTGTCCATCCCCGATTCATGCGCGGGGCTTCCATCAGGTGCTCTTCCTTGTTGCGTCGGGTGCCCCCGCTGAAAAATCAGCGCCCACGGCTGGCGCCGCGCGGCCGGAGGGACCCGCCGCCGCGCGGCGAAAAGGCAGACCAGGGCCCCGGCAGCGCGCACGGAAGAGTTCGAGAGACGAGCTCTCCCCTGCCTGAAGGGGGGCCTAGGGTCTTCGCCGCCGGCTCCTGTCCACGGTTTTCCTTTTCCTGTGCAAGCTCCTCGGCACCGCCTGCACCCCGGGCCCCGCCCTCTCTGGCCGCCTGAGGCCTCGCCCGCCTGTGCCGTGTCTCCCCAATCAGAGCTGTGCGTAGCCCGCTTAGCTTTTAGCGGAAGAGGTTCGCTCTCGCCCCGCCGACCAAAAAAGTCTGAGGGGGGCCTGGGTGGGCGGCAGGTGTGCGTCGGCGGCGGGCGGGGGGGCGAAGGGAGAAGGAGGAGGCCTCCTCGGAAGGCGGCGGGACTTCTCAGAAGCCCACTCGGCCTCCCGAGGAGTCTTCTGTGCCTCTGGGGAAGGCTCAGACAACTTCCCAGAAGGCCCGGGGGGGACTTCGGAGCCTTCTGAGAAGGCCCGCCCTCACCGCCGACCGTGGTAGGTTCTGCTCCCGCCCCTGATCCTGACCCCGCGAGGTCCCCGGAGGTCCCCACAGGTCCCCGCGAGGTCCCCGCGAGGTCCCCGGAGGTCCCCACAGGTCCCCGCGAGGTCCCCGCGAGGTCCCCGCGAGGTCCCCGCGAGGGCCCCGCGAGGTCCCCAGAGGTCCCCGCGAGGTCCCCGCGAGGTCCCCGCGAGGTCCGCAAAAGGGCCGAGAGCGTCCAACAGGCGCTCGAAAAAACGTCCGAAAGAGGTCCCCCGCGAGGCCCGCCTCGCGCGCCCGCCGCCGAGCTCGGCCGCACACGCGCGTCGGAGGCCCTGAGGGCGCTCGTGTGCCTGGTCGCTCTTCTCGGGCCTCCTCTTGGCTCGCCTCGTCGCTCTCTGCTCGCCTTGTCGCTCGCCTCGTCGCTCTCTGCTCGCCTCGTCGCTCTTTGCTCGCCCTTGTCGCTCTCTGCGCGCCGTGTCCCTTTTGCTCGCCTCGGTCGCTCTCCGCTCGTCACTCTTTCCTCGCTCCTCCTTTGTTCCCGGCACGCCCCCTCTCCTCGCTCCTGGGGGCTCCTCCGTGCTCGCTGCGCCTCGTCCTCCTCCCTCCCCTCTTGGCCTCCCCTGCTCTCCTCGATCCCGCTGCTGCCGAATGCCGCACCACCGCGAGACTTTTACTGGCCATTGTGGTAAACAGGTGCATCTGCTTCCCCTCCTCCTTCCTCGGCCTCGGCTCTCCCTCCGTCCCTCCTCGCGCCCCCTTTTCTCTTCCGCGGCCGCTCTCCTCCCTCCTCGCTCCCCGCTCCCGGCTCGTCGCTTTTTGGTCGCTCCCTGCTTCTCCGCCCGCCTCCTGGAGCCCAGCTCCTCGCTCCTAGCTCCTGGCTCCTCCCTCCCCGACCCGCTCACGCGCAGCAGGCTGCGCCCGCCACCCGGAGCACCGAGAGGCAGCCCCCCCTGGCGCCCCCTCAAGCAGCAGGAGAAGCGAACAGCAGCAGGCACCAGCCTCCTGCAGCCGCAGGCGGCAGCATCAGAGGCGATGTTCGGACCCAACGTCATCATGAACGCCTCCTGGTAGCATCTTCGCCCTGACCCCGCGTGTCATCCCGGACAGGGTCCGTGGCCAGTAGGCCACGGGTCAGCCTCAGTCACCTATAACGCTGGGATCAGCGCGTGCGAGAAGAGTGAGCAGTGGCAGCGGGCTTTGGCGCTGCTCAGCGAGATGCGGGATACGAAACTGGAGCTGGACGTCATCAGTTACAACGCTGGGATGAGCGCGTGCGAGAAGGGCGAGCAGTGGCGGCGGGGTTTGGTGCTGCTCAGCGAGATGTGGGAGGCGAAGCTGGAGCTGGACATCATCTCTACATTTGGTTCCTTCGCGTGTCCCCACCAGCCCATCTGGACGCGAGCTGCCCTGACCAGAGATGTGTAGCATCATGCAGAGGACCAAAGAGGTGAGGCAGCTGACAAACCGGAGCTCGGGATCAGTCTAGGGCTTAGCAGCCTTGGAAGCGACCCATCCGTTCCATTGCGGCTCTTTCGAAACAGAAGAAGGATGGAGGAGAAACATGAGGAGGAGGGAGAGGAGATGAGGGGGAGAAAGAGGAGGAGGAGGAGGAGGAGGAGGAGGAGGAGGAGGAGGAGGAGGAGGAGGAGGAGGAGGAGGAGGAGGAGGAGGAGGAGGAGGAGGAGGCGGAGGAGGCGGGAGGAGGAGGAGGAGGGAGGAGGAGGAGGAGGAGGGAGGAGGAGAGGAGGAGGAGGAGGAGGGAGGAGGAGGAGGAGGAGGAGGAGGAGGAAGGAGGAGGAGGAGGAGGAGGAGGAGAGGAGGAGGAGGAGGGGAGAGGAGGGGAGGAGGAGGAGGAGAGGAGGAGGAGAGGAGGAGGAGGTCGGGGGAGGAGGAGGAGGAGAGGAGGAGGAGGAGGAGGAGGAGGAGGAGGAGGAGGAGGAGGTGGAGGAGGAGGAGGAGGCGGATGAGGAGGAGGAGGATGAGGAGGAGGAGGAGGCGGAGGAAGAGGAAGAGGGAGGAGGAGGAGGAGAGGAGGAGATGAGGAGAGAGAGAAGGAGGAGGAGGAGGAGGAGGAGGAGGAGGAGGAGGAGGAGGAGGGAGGAGGAGGAGGAGGAGGAGGAGGAGGAGGAGGAGGGGGGAGGGAGGAGGAGGAGGAGGAGGAGGAGGAGGAGGGGAGGAGGAGGAGGAGGAGGAGGAAGTGGATGATGAGGAGGAGGAGGAGTAGGAGGAGGATGAGGAGGAGGAGGAGGAGGAGGAGGAGGAGGAGGACTCGAGCGTGAGCCCCTCCCTACGGGGCCTGCGTTTTATGTTATTAATCCGAGGCGACCACTTTCGAACTTGTACCTGACGTCGCTTTGGGGCGCCCGGGATTTATCTCGAGGAAGTCTTGAGCGGGAGCCTCGTCTTTGAGTGAATTGCGAGGAGATCTCGAGCGGGAGATCCCTCTCTATGGGGCCTGGGCTTCATGTTAGTAATGCGAGGCGGCCATCTGCCACCCTCAAACCTGTAACTGACGTTTTTGTTGGGGCTCCTGAGATTTGAATCTTGAGGAAGTGTAGCAATGCAGCCTCGTGTGTGAGTGAGTCGGGAGGAAGTCTCGAGCGGGAGCTTCCTCTCTATGGGGTCCACGCTTCATGGTAGTAATCCGAGGCGGCCCTCCTGAAACTTGTGACTGACGTTTCCTTTGGGCTCCTGAGATGTGAACGTTTAGAACGTTTAGAACGGGAGCCTCGTCTGTCGGTGAATCGCAGTGAAGTCTCATGCGGGAGTCCTTGGAGTGCTTCAGAGGTTTACGGGCCCCAGGAAGCTGCAGGAAACGACAGGGAGCTTCAAGAGGCCCCAGGAGGCCCTAGGAGGCACCAGAAACCCCGGTGTGCCGCCGAGCATGCCCCCATGATTGCTCAAGAGAGCACCATGAGGTCCCACGAGATCCCAGCACGAGCAAGCGGCAACATAAGTAGCAGCACATATCAGCGGCACGCATCAGCAGGCAATCCTTGGCACCAGGTCACACCAACAAGCATCAAGCAGCGTCAGCAAATCAGCAGCCTCAAGCAACACCGAAAAGCGGCAGCGGCAAGCATTAGCAGTATCACGCAGCAACAACACAGCAGTAACAGTCAGGGTTCGGACGAGCAAGCAACGGAGCAAGCAGAAAAGAAACCAGGCGGTGAGGCCACGAGTTGCAGTCCACCAGTCTAGCAACCTCGCCAGAAGGATTATAGACAAGAATCAAGCAGACGAGCGATCTGGATTCTTCCATGCCATGCGAGTAAGCTTTCATGACCACCAGGGGGATTCCGATCGCATCACGACAGGCCCGCCCTGGTCAGCTACAATGCTGGGATCAGCGCGTGCGAGAAGGGCGAGCAGTGGCAGCGTGCTTTGGCGCTTCTCCGCGAGATGTGGGAGGCGAAGCTGGAGCCCGACGTCATCATGCCTACGTTGCCGGAAGTCGCGCGTCCGCTCGGGGCACTCGGGCTCCGCATCCCCCGCCCTGGGCAGCGTCGTCGGGGCGGCTGCGCTGGTAACGCGCCGCAGATCTGGGCCCTACGAGGCCCTCTGGGGCTGCTTCGGCTCTGCTCAGCGGGCCATCGCAGTCCCTGGGGCTGTGTTCAGGTGCAAGATGGTCCCACGACGACTCCGATGACGATTCCATCGTGGCCCAGCCCCACGACGCCCAGACCGCCAAAAGGACTGATGGCCCCCCAAAGACTCTAAGCTTGCCCGAAAGGCTCCCGAAGAAGGTTCTGAGAGTCCACGACGGTCGCGAGGCAGCCCTACGAGGGCACCAAGAGTGCATCAGAAGAGGACGAGCCAGCGATTCCCACAGGAAAGCAGCAGAGTCAGCAGCAGCAGAGCCAGCGTCAGTAGCCAGGATAGGCGAGCACCAGCAGTAAGCAGCAGCAAGCCCAGTAAAGCTCCAGTCCAGCTCCACGAGCTCCAGAATTTCATGCAGCAAGCAAACAGCGGAGCTCAGCGGCAGCAGCAGCAGCAGCAGCAGCAGCAGCAGCCGGGAGAGTAACCTGTCAGCAAGCAGCAGCAATCATAACCTGCAGGCAACATTCAGCCACAGGAGCAGCGGCAGTTCCGTGTGGATTTGTTCTGGCCAAGATCGCCCTTGGCGGCCCCAGGGGCCCCAGCAGGCTCCGAGACGGTGCCAGAAAGCTCGAGACGCCTCCAGACGGCCCAAGAGGTCGCCAATATGGCGTTCAGCCGAAGGCGGCCCAAGAGGTCTCCAAGAGGCCCCCCAAGAGGGCCCCGAGAGGCCAACATACTACACGCGCCTTGAGTTTTTCCAACCATCCAGTGGTGTTGGGTCCTCGTTTTGAAGAGAGCGCCTCGCGTCACTCCTCCTCTACTCCTCCTCCCTCCTTCCTCCTCCCATGCCTGCTTCTGCCCTCCACCTGTTTTCGTCGCCTTCATCATCATGAGCATCTTCATCATCACCAGTATCATCGTTTCGGCACGTCTCTCACAGGAATCGTGGACCCATGGGCAGTCCCCAGTGGCTGCGTTCGCATGCGCCCACCGCGCCCATGTTGGCACACCACTCGCACGTTTCGTGGCCCCATAGGCAGGCTCCAGTGGCTGCGTTCGCACGGACCCATCGCACCCATTTTTTCCAATTGTTGCACACCCCTCACATGTCTCGTGGCCCCATAGGGAGTTTCACCGAAGGCCCGAGTGGCTGCGTTCGCATGGGCACACCGTGCCCATGTCGGCACATCCCTCACATGTTACATGGTCCCATAGAGAGCTCCTTTTTACCTAACAGCGAAGACTGATAGGTTTCTAGTGGGATCAAAAGAGAGCAGCAGATCACTCCACAGGGGGGTCCGGGCAGGTGTTGGGACAGGGGGCTCGTCCGGGCAGGTGTTGCGGGAGTAGTTAGTTGCCGCGGCAGGCGTGTGGAGGCGGCAGTGAGCGGGGTCTGCGGGGGGCTACGTTTTTTTGTTTTCACCAAACAGTCACACACTTCGTTGTCTTCGGCCTTCCCAGAATCCATTCCCAGGACACATTTCTGGGGTGCCCGATGCAAACTGTAGGCCACTTCGTGGTCTTCGAGTTTCCAGAACTCCATTCCTGGGCATGATTTTGAATGCCCGGAGCCAACTGTAGGCCACTTCGTTGTCTTCGAGTTCCCAGAACTCCATTCCTGGGCCAACATTTTGGATGCGGCCAACATTTTGGATGACCGGAGCCAACTGTAAGCCACTTTGTGCTCTTCCATTTCCCAGAACTCCATTCCCGGGCCACATTTTGGATGCCCGGAGCCAACTCTAGTCCACTTCCTGGTCTTCGAGTTCCCAGAACTCCATTCCCGGGCCACATTTTGAATAGCCAGACGCTTCATACTCCTTCCGCCACAGCTGTGTTTGGTTCAGGACTTGCTAGTGACACTGCAGTCCTCTGCATTCAATGGCCACTACATTCATTCACTGCAGTCCACTGAGTTTTGATTGCAATGGCGTTCCCCTGGCCGTACCCCCATGTCCAACGTTCATCCGCAGCCTCTGCTCCGCGAGGCTCGTCCGAAGTGTCGCCGCCTCGCGGTGCTTCTCAGCCTGCGCCGCCTCGCGGTGCTTCTCAGCCTGCGGAGGAAGGTGGACAGACGCCTGGTTCTGGCGCTGTGCAGCCTGCGTCTTTCACGGTCGCCTCGTTCAATTTCGGGTTCGAGCAGGGCATGATGACTGGTAAGCAGGCGGCCACTCACTGCGCTAACTTCGGAAGGTTGTGCGCCACGATAGTGGAGACCGCTGATGCTGATATTGTCTGTGGCTGCGAGGTCGGTGCGTTCCGTGAAGGCTTTCGCCGAGCAGGGATCAACGTGACAGAGATCCTCAGTATGCCTTTCGGTGATGGCATTCGCTTCTCGGAGGTCGACAACTACTTGACTCTCTGGGGGTTCCGCGGTGCTTCTCAGCCTGCGGAACTGACTCTGTGCGAAGACAGCAAAGTTTACAGGCCTCATAGCGGCCGAGATATTGATGCTGTTATTTCACATTTTGAGGTGAACAAACCAGGCCATGACAAGTTCCACGTGGTGATCGCCAACATGCACATCGTGTGCGGCAAGAAACCGCCGACCATCCAGACTCGAAAGCGGACAGTTCGCCATCTCCGCTTGCACCTGGACGGCCTGGCCAAGATTCTGGAGAATCTAAACCAGGCAGTCGTTCTGCTTGTAGTCGGCGACGACAACCTCACTTTCCAGGAGGCGCGGGAGGCTTACCAGCGCCAGCAGAACGACGAGAAGGTATGGGA